GCATGATTAATAAGGAAAGAATCAAAGTTCAACAAGCATAGAGTAGTCAATTAGGACTAAATTCAGAAAATTCCAATTAAGGAAAGAATTCAGTAAGAATAAAGTACCACAGCAAATAAGGAAATGGAATCAGTCAATATAAACAGACAAGGTAAAATTTTAGGGTTTCAAAAGAAAATCTTTCAATCAAACCATCAAATAAGGAAATCAGAATCAATCAAGAGGGACTCATGATTCTATACTTCAGCATATAAATAGAGAAGAACAAACAGACGTAGCAAACAGGCAAAGTCAGCAATATCGACAGAAAGAGGCAAGAGATGAACAATCAAGATGAATACAATCACACAGAGGTGATATAAGCAGGCTAAGGACTCAGTAAAACCCATTCGAAGAATGGTAACCACAGAACTTAACAGGAATCGAGTGGTCATGCTAACACACAGAACCAAAACAAAGAAGATCTAAAAAATTAGGGCTTTTAACATAGGCGAGTTGAAAAAGCAGTAAGAACATAGAATCAGTCAAGATATGCAAGGAAAGAGGTTTAAACATAAAGAAAAATCAATTTAAACAAGTGTAGAAGAAACTTTGAGAACCCCTAACTTTAAAGAAAGTAAAAACGGCTTAAAGTTGATGATTTTTCAAAAGAAGTTTGAGAATAGTGTAAAACATAGAAAGAAACAGACTTAAATCGTTTAAAAGAGCACAGATCTGAGAGATACAAATGAAAGTTAGGGTTTCAAAAGAAACCCATATAGAAACGGAAGAACCTGCTATAAACTTCAAAGATCGTAACATATATGGTGTGACTTTGCCCAAAATCACACTGGAGAAGCCATGAACAACCAAAACAGCAACCCTAGATACAAGTCGGCATAACCCAGGGTCCTTGAAGGCCTCAGAGATGATGAGCAAGGCGATGGAGGAACCATTAGAGGCTTGGGGTTGAAAGGTGGTCGCCGGAGATGACCGGAGAGAGAGGCGGCGGTTGAAAAGGGATTAGGGCTAGGTTGAGAGAAGAGAAGAGACAAGAGCATCTGAAGGCAGCGGGGGTTTGGAAATGATTACGGTTAGGGGGTCGTTTGGAATTAAAAAAGAACAAATGTGGGCCATTGATCTTCTAGATCAACGACCAGGATCTGATGGTTTCTTGGTCAGGTAGGAAGTGTTTGGGGCCTGGGTCAGGTTATGTAATAGGAAATTGGGATGGGGAGTGAGTTCGATTTGGCTAAAATTGAAAGCCAAATCTGGCTATAATTTAAATAGCCAATTTTCCTTTTTTTTAATTTATAATAAATAATAAATAGTTTTCTGAAAATAATTTTTCTATACTAAAATGATTTAAAATATATAATTATCATTTTAAAAATATAGGGACCAATTTCGCGCATATAAAATATAATTATACATTAAAATGGGCTAACATTGCAATTATATGCAATTCAGCTTAAAAAATACTAAATGTAATTATAAAAATGCAAGAAAAATATATTAGTCATATTTTGGCATAAATACAGAAATTAGATGAATAAATCATCATAAAGATAATTTTGGAAATAATTATTGAGGATTTTGTAAATAAAGGGGGAGAAAATAAATCAATTTAAACCCTTAAAATTATGGAAAAAATTATAAAAATCTTGTGTATACTTATATATGCATATATAGGCTATTTTGAAGGTATTTATGCATATTTAAAATATATAGGGAAAAATTATGTATCAACAACTCTATCTTTGCCTTCATAGCATCGATAGTACTCAAAGCCTTTGTTAGTCTGCACTCTAAAGCAGTGATTGTTTCCCTTCGTTCCATATCGGTCTGTGTACGTCCCTCCAAGTCATTTCGGATACCCTCAATCTCTTCAAAAGTGTGCCCCTCAAGAACCTTATGGGTGTCCTCCACCTTCCCCAAGCGTTGGCCAAAGATGTCCACGGCGTCCATCCCTGCGTTCATTTTCATCACCCACACTTTACCAAGCGAGACGTCCTCGGGCAGGACCTCCACTTCATCCTCGCTCTCCTGGCAAATGGTTCTTGGGATGTAAGTCCTTCGTTGGACACAACTTCGGGTGGCACATCTTGGCTCTTGTTGGCGTCATTCCTCTTTTTGTTATGGCCCTTCTTGCTAGCAGCATCCCGGATGACATTGGCTTGGGTGTTGGCAGCGTTAATTTTTCCATCGTTCGGCATTCCCTTAGTTATAACCTGGTTGTCACATCCTTAGTCGTTAACTAAGTACACGTGCGACACTTGACAACTCTCTCACGATTTTGCACAACTTGCTCACGTTCTTCCTATGCCAAGTCAACCTTACTATACTCAAGGTCGCTAAGAGAATGGTAGGAAGAACACAAGAGAATTGTTAAGGGAAGCTTTATATTAGAGAGAACTTGAATTGTTTTCTTGGTGAATTATAAATAAATGACCCCCTTCATATACTAGTTACCTAGGGCCTAGTGTGTAAATATTAATTGTTACACAAGTCCCTTATTATTTATAAGTAAGTCCTTCTCTAGAATTTTCTATATAGTTAGAATCTTTTAAGGACTTTCTAAGCAAATCTATAGGAATATAGGGTCTTTCTTCCTAAGGAAATGTCAAACTTCTCTAGAATCTTCTCATAAAAGCTAGACTCCTCTTATGTAAGCTTCCACATGACATTAATATATGCCAAATAGCGTCTATGTGGCATGATGACATAGCGGGTCATCACACTAAACTGTCATTTCCCATTGTAATAAGACAAATCGTTAAATTCAAACCCATGACTGTTAAAAGCATACACATTATTCGAAATGGAAAGGTAGAATTATACTGGCAGTAATTGAATCCTGACGTAGAAAATCTCGTGCTGGAATTTGCTTCGACTCTTCACTAAGGGTTCTGAAATTTGACATAACTTACCTTCCTTCAAGAATGTCGTGGCGCCCAAGACTATGATTGTTGCACGATTCTGATAAAAATTTGTCCGCCCTGATATTTACTTCAAGCCGAGTTAAATTAATCATAGAAAATAAAATTAATACACCTTAATTAAGCACGATTCCTTCCCTTAGAAATTATTCATCACACATAAATTTTGGGGGATCTGGTGAAGACTAGTTTTGGTATAAGTACGAGGTGTTGGTACTGGGGCGGCTCTAAAGGTTAGGCCAGTGAGGCCACTGCCTTAGTCCCCGAAACTTGAAGGCCCTAAATTTGCTTATTCTCTTATTATTATGATTACTATATACTATAAAATTTATATAAATAATTATTATAATTAAAGTGTTACAGTACATTTTTTTGTTATTTGATTGAGGTTATTTTGTACCAAAAAATTTATAAATTATAATAAATTTTCACTCATTAATTAGTATATTTAATTTGCTTCACTTTTCAATTTTAATTTTACCTCTTTTATTTAGGAATTAAGATATATATCAACAACAACATTATGAATTTCTTTTAAAATCTTCTTTGAAACTGCATGAACACAAGAGCATTCATGCACCGATTTTCTTTTCGTGTAACTCAACATATTATATTAGGCTATTCTCAATTTATTTTAGATATTCATCAATAAGTGCTACTAATTAATTCAATGAACTACAATTATCGTTTAATTAAATTGATTAGGAGTAAATATTTTTGGCGCTGGCAATGCTCAAAGTTAAGCTATTACGTTATGTACGTTTATTTCTTTTTCTGGATGGTGATGATAGACAATTCAAAATTTTCGTTTTGAGTTTTGGACCTCAACATCCCATAATCCACCACTTTATTTTTTATGCTCTTCTTCCTTTTTTCTTTAAAAAAAAATCATTATTTTTTGTCATAAATGATTAATTTATTGTTTAGAAAGTAAATTTTATTGTTAGTGTAAAAATTTTGTAAAATAAATTTAAGGGCCACTCAATATGGTTTTGCTTTGGGCCCCAAGATCTGTTGATCCCCTGCTCGGAGATAAAAGAGAGATCATTTTATCTGAACCATTACCTAGTGAAAATAATAAATTAGTCAGAATAATTTGGTAGACTATGCTTTGAACCATTTATTCTTTCTAACAGTTTGTATATTCGTTCAAAGACTTATTTTTATCACCATGTGTATGTCTTTTTTTATGTGTGTTTTTATGTGTCAAGCCCCTGACTCTTTTAGAAGCAGTCGCACCTCACGCTCATATATATGATGGACTTTCTAATTTTTGCCGGGTGATAACCGCTTTAACTAATACTACAACAAAAAAGAGTCATTTGATATGATGAATATTAAAAGTGGGAGCTGGTAGGAAATTGACGCCACGTTAATGTTCAGATAAATGCCTGGAGATAAAAAAGACCACTTTGTTGTCAATTAAAAAATTGTATAGACTCAAAAAAGAAAATTCACTATCAATCCGGACAGATACACAATTTCATAGAATAACTAGGACATATTTTTGATAAAGTCCAGAAGAGACAGATCGCATTGAGGTATAACCCACCCCGCACCCGCCTCACATAGTTTTGGAAAAACTGAAGTTTCATCCCGCCCCACCCTGTCTAGTCCAGCACCCGCATAAGCACATCTCCGCCCCATACCGCCCCATACCATCCCTACTGTATTTAATGGCGGAGGCAGAGTATTTGCGAAGGGGGTTCAAAAATTTTAAAAATCAAATACACAATGAAGCTAACCAACCAAAACCAAAAAATAAAAAAGATGCTAACATATTTCATTAATAGAAAGAGAAGTTCTCACCACAAAGATAGTGTTAAGATAAACAAATCATAGTAACGAGACTTTCAAAAGAGAAAATACAAAAAACAAGTCTTGTGTTAGTTACAAGGACCTAATGACTAATGAGATCAACAAAAAACAACTAAGTACATTATTACAACTGCACTCGACGAGGTTTCATATCTTGAAATGTTTTAATAATAGTATCATTAGAAATACTATCAAACACATTTTTTTTCTACATAAGGCACCAAACAACCGCTAAAGAACTCATCATTTATTCGACTTCATAAGTCATTCTTGATAAACTTCTTCAACAGATGCAGTGGCAACGGGCAGAAGCAAAGCAAGTTTCACTAAGAGAAATACAAGAGCATAATTTGAATGCTTCTTTGTCTGAACTAATCTTTTTGAAAGATCACAAAGCCCATGTAGATCGGAGAATCTTTCATCAACATCACGAACATCAATAATAAAACTTGCAAGCTGATTCTCAAGAGTACCCATACTAAATTCATCAAAGTCATCAGGATATAACTCAACCATTCCCATTATTTTCCTGATGTCAAAACTTGAAAATGAGTTAATTGGATTCAAACAAGCAATTCCATGAAGCAAATAAGTTGTCTCTTCGTCAAAAATTTCATTAAGTTTCTTGAATTTTCCAATCAATAATTTTGCAAAATACATCAATCCGATAATGATGTAAGACTGTACAATCAGAAGGTTTACAACGTGATCTTAAAGAACTAACATATGGCTCATCAAAGCGAGGTATCAAAATATCATATTTGATACAAAATGCAGATATCTTAGCAATAAGAGATTCTCATTCCTCTTTCCTTAACTTTTGCAACCTTTTCTTTGCTACTTCAACAAGTAGCATGGCATTTGCAATATCTTGCTCTTTTTTTGTAAGCATTTATTGAGCTCATTTGTGATTGCTAAAATATCCCTTATCAAATGTAACATGAATGCAACCTCAAATGTTTGACAAGCCCTGAGATATTCCATTGCCTTGGCTGTTTCATCTCTAGAATGTGCATCAAGAACAAGTGATTCAAGAACATCAAGAATAGAGCCAAACATCAGAATAAAATTATTAAAAGATTTAAAGTGAGATCCCCAACGAGTATCACATGCTCTTGAAAGACCAAGTTATTGATTCAAGCCCCCTACTGGTTGTAAGCTCACCCATATCTAATGCCTCTTGAATTCATTCTTTTTGAGATTCTCGAAATTCATCCATACGCTTAAAAGAAGATCCCAATATATTCAAAATATTTGAAACCAACACTACAAGTTCCCCCACTTGAAGACATTTCTTAGAAACCGCAACAAGGGTAAGTTGGAGTTGATGAGCAAAACAATGAATGGAATTAGCCGATCTACTTTCTTGCTTAATCAACATTTTTAAGACCATTAATTTCACCTTGCATATTGCTTGCCCCATCGTAACATTGTCCACGCACATATGATAGACTTAAGGAGTGTTGAGCAAGTAAATTAACAATTGCACTCTTCAAAGATGAAGCACTAGTATTTTGGACATGAACAACATCAATAAGTCGCTCCATCACAAATCACATTCTATCAACATACTGTAAGACAATAGCCATTTGCTCCTTGCAGGACGTATCAAAAGATTCATCAACTAGCAAGGCAAAGTAATCACTATTTAGTTCCTCAATTATAGCTTTAGTTGTTTCTATCTTACATGCAGTAACAATGTCTTTCTGAATCATTGGAGAAGTCATTTGATCATTTTGCGGAGCATGTTCCAGTACATAATCACGAATGTTATCACACACTTTTGCATACCATGAGAGAGTTTGAAGAAAATTACCCATACTAAGTGAAGACTTAGATTCATCATGACCTCGAAATGCTAATCCTTGAGTTATAAGAAGTCTTACTACATTAACTGAAGCAGTTAAGCGGATCCAATACTCATGCTTAAGTTGACTAGATTGCCTCTCAAATAAAGATTGAATAGACCGTTGTTGCCACAAATCTTGACATTTCTTTTTTGACTCATTGTGAATGCCACTTGACCCATGTTTATCAAAACTATTCTTTTTATGTCAATTCTTAAACCTTATACTTGAAAATACATCACCTCCACCTTGAATGAATATTATTTTCTTTAAATAGATAACAATACAAACAATAGGCTGCATCTTTATTTACACCGTACTCCAACCAATCATGATATTCATCATCAAACCATTTAGGGTTAAATCGACGCATTGATCCAGTAAAATTTGTTTTAGGAAAGTTATGAAGCCGAGGTTGACAAGGACCTTGTTGAAGGAATTCTCTTCTAATAACATCGCGATGATTTGGATGGAAGTCCAAGATTTGAGTTCTTTCCCCCGAGTCAAACTTTAAAGAATCCAAATCAAATTCATCCGAAGATGGTACTTCTAAATGGTTGATATTCTCTTTCCGGATAGGTTGAGTATGGGAAGCCAAATTTGGTTTTGGTGCTTTGGTAAAATACCTCTTGTTTGAGACTGAATTATAAAGTAGGAACATAGTTAGAAAAATTGATATATGAATGTTGTATCGAACTAAACTTAAAGAAGAATTAGTTTAGTGTATACTTGTCACACCTCCTTTTTACATACCCGCGAGGGCGCAAGGGAGTTTTTTCCAATTAAAGGACAATCGAAACGAGATTTGTTTATTTATTTCAGAGTCGCCACTTGGGAGATTTAGGGTGTCCCAAGTCACCAATTTTAATCCCGAATCGAGGAAA